CGCTGACGACCCCGGCTGCGGCGGCGTCGACGCCGGCGTTTACGTTCCCGAGCTCGAGCGCGCCGAGCGCGTCCAGCGCGCCCGCGGCGGGCGGGTTCACGTTCGCGCCATCGGCTTCGACGCCCGCGGCGGGCGGGTTCACGTTCGCGCCGCCGCCGGCGTCCGCGCCCGCGGTCGCGCCGTTCGCGCCGCCGCCGGCGCAGGCCCCGCCGCCGCTGAAACCGGCTCTGGCGCCGTTCGCGCCGCCTCCGGTCGCGGCCCCGGCGCCGCCGAAACCGCCGCCGCCTCCGAAACAGTCGCCGCCACCGCCGACGCCGCCGGCCGCGACGCCGCAACCGGCGGCGCCGCCGTCGACGCCGATCGACGCCCCTCCCGCGTCGCAAGACCAGGTCGACTTCGGTCTCCGACTCCTGGAGGCGGTGAAAGCCGGGTCGCTCGACCTCGAGTCCGCGCAGAAGCAGCTGAAGGATCTGATGGTGTCCGGGACGCCGCCGCCGCCGTCGCCGAAGTTGGACGCGAAGACGTCCCCGCTGGCGAAGACGCCGACGCTTCCCGCGAGCGCGTCGCCGTTGCCGAAGATGCCGAAAGGGTTCACCCCGGTCAAGGTGACGGACGCCGACGCCGCGCCGGCGCCGCCGAGCCCGACGCCGACGTGGGGCCAGAAAGTCGCGGCGATTCGCGCGGCGGCGTCCGCGCCTCCGTCCGCGCTCCCCGGGAGCGACCCGGGCGCGAACGGACTCAAGGCTATCATGGACGACATCAACGCCGCGATGGAGGAAGCCGCGGCGATGCTCGCGGACGTGGACGACGTCGCGACCGCGATCGAGACCGAGAGCGGCGCCGGCCCGTTCGGCGCCGGAGAGGTCGCGGCGCTGGCGTCCGAGGCGGAGACGCTGTCGCGAGCCGTGCGCGACGAGATCGAGGCCGTGGGGGACCTGCGCCCGGGCGTCGCGGAGGTCATGGCGGAGAACACGAGGGACGAGACGATGCGCGCGGAGCTCGAGTCTCTGTTTGAACGCGCGGCGGAGGACGCGGAGAACGCCGCCGCGGAGGAGGAGGAGGAAAAAGAAGAAGCCGCGCGCGCGGGCGGCTCCGCGCGGAAAGAGCGCTGGGGCCCGAAAGTTTTAGCCGCCGCGGCGACGCGGCCGCTGCCGCCGACGCTCGATAAGCTTCGAAGCACGATCAGCGAGGACATGTCGCGTTTGACGTCCGGGATGGCGAAGCTCGAAGCCGAACTTTCCGCGGCGGAGCGCGAGCGTAAAAGACGCGCCGCGGAGTCGCAAGGAAAGGAGCAGACGCCGCCGGCGACGACGCTGCCGTGGGGCCCGTCCGGGGCGACGAGCATGCCGAACGCGGGGTCGCTGCGCGGCTCCACCGCGGCGTCGCCGCTGCCGAAGTCGCTGCTCGCCGCGGGCGGACGCCGGTCTCCGGGGGGCGTCGCCGCGCTGGGAAATTCTTTCGGCGGCGTTCGAGGCGGCGTCCGAGGCACGCTCGTCAGCAGTAACGGACGTAACGCGCGCGTTTTAGCCGCCGCGAGCGTCCCCTCCGCGTCCACGCGCGCGGGAGGCCGACCCCCAGTCGGGGACGACACCGCGGAGACGATGCGAGAGCTGCGACGACGACGCGAGCTCATCGACGCGCAGACGAAAAAACTCGAGGAGGTGCTCGCGCGCGTGCGCGTCGGCGGCGACGCGTCGCGGCCGTTGCCGAGCGATAAAGGTTCGCCCGCGGCGTCGACGGCGTCGTCGCAGAAGTCGCCGAGCGGCGGCGCGACCGGCGCGGCGTCGCCCGCGGCGTCGTCCCTGGGCGCGTTCTCGCCCGTGTCGAGGTTCGCCGGCGCGCGAGACGACGACGACGATGACGACGATCGCGGGATGCACCTCGCGGCGCCGTCGCCGCGGTCCCCGAGCGGCTCGCGACGGCTCACCGCGCCCTCGGAGACGGATCATTCCGAGGAGAGCGCGGTCGTGCGCGCGGTGCTGTCCAGGATCTCCGCGCCGAGGGTGACGTCCACAGCGAAGAAGGCGCCGCCGCCGACGGAGACGACGCGACGCGCGCGGCCGACGTTCACGACGTCCTCGCCCGTCCCGCCGCCGCCGGCGTTTCCTCTGAAGACGCCCGCGCCCGCGCCCGCGCCGGCGTTCGGTGGGTTCGGAGGGGCGGCGACGCCGGCGGCGGAGACGCCGAAGCCGGCGGGGGGCTTCAGCTTTGGCGCGCCGGCGGCGGCGCCGCCGGCGGAGGTTGCGAAACCGCCACCCGCCGCCGCGCCGCCGCCGCCGCCGCCGCCGGCGGCGGCGGCCACCGCTCCCGCGCCCACTCCCGCGACCGCGCCCAAGCCGGCGACCGCGGGCGGGTTCGGCGCCGCCTTCCTCGCGAAAGCGAACGCGGGGTACGCCGCGGCGCAGAAGGCGCTTGAGGACGATTTGGACAAGGCGGCGGGGAAGATGTGTTCGCCCGCCGCGCCGAAGCCCGCGACCGGCGCGCCCGCGTTTGGTTTCGGAGCCGCGACGACCGCGCCCGCGACGACCGGGTTCTCGTTCGGCGGCGCGTCCGCGGCCGCGGCTGCGAGCGCGCCCAAGGTGACGTTCGGCGTCGCGCCGGCGTCGTCCGCGGCGGCGAGCGCGCCGTCGTTCGGGGGGCTCGCCGGGACGACGACGACGACGGCGGCGACGTCGACGTTTTCCTTTGGCAGCGCGCCCGCGGCGGGCGGCGTTCCGGCGTTTGGAGCCGCGCCCGCGTCCTCCGCGGCCGCGGTCGTCGAGCCCGAGAAGCCGAAACCCGCGGAACCGGAGAAGAAGCCGGACGCCGCGGCGCCGGAGACACCGAAACCCGCCGGCGGGTTCGGCGCCGCGTTCCTCGCGAAAGCGAACGCGGGGTACGCCGCGGCGCAGAAGGCGCTGCAAGACGACCTAGACGACGCCGCTGGAAAGACGCCGGCGGCGACAGCCCCGGCGACAGCCCCGGCGGCGACAGCCCCGGCGACAGCCCCGGCGAGCACCCCCTCGGCGGCGGCGGCCGCGTTTGGCTTCGCCGCGGGAACCTCCGCGGCGCCGGGCGGGTTCTCCTTCGGCGCCGCGCCCGCCGCGTCGTCGGGGGCGGCCGCGAGCGCGGCGTCGCTCGCGCCCGCGACGACGACCGCAGCGACGACGAAGTTCTCGTTTGGCGCCGCGCCGGCAGCGGCATCGAGCGCGGCGGCGTCCAGCGACGCCGCGACGACGACCGCGGCGACGACGAAGTTCTCGTTTGGCGCCGCGCCGGCAGCGGCATCGAGCGCGGCGGCGTCCAGCGACGCCACGACGACGACCGCAGCGACGACGAAGTTCTCGTTTGGCGCCGCGCCGGCGGCGGCATCGAGCGCGGCGGCGTCCAGCGACGCCGCGACGACGACCGCGGCGACGACTGCGAAGTTCTCGTTTGGCGCCGCGCCGGCGGCGGCATCGAGCGCGGCGGCGTCCAGCGACGCCGCGACGACGACCGCGGCGACGACTGCGAAGTTCTCGTTTGGCGCCGCGCCGGCGGCGGCATCGAGCGCGGCGGCGTCCAGCGACGCCGCGACGACGACCGCGGCGACGACTGCGAAGTTCTCGTTTGGCGCCGCGCCGGCGGCGGCATCGAGCGCGGCGGCGTCCAGCGACGCCGCGACGACGACCGCGGCGACGACTGCGAAGTTCTCGTTTGGCGCCGCGCCGGCGGCGGCATCGAGCGCGGCGGCGTCCAGCGACGCCGCGCCGCCGCCGGCGGCGACGACTGCGACGTTTTCTTTCGGCGGCGCGGCAGCGGGAAGCGCTCCAGCCTTCGGCGCGTCTTCGGCGGCGGCGACGCCCGCGGTTGGGGCGTCGTCGACCGCCGCCGCGAGCGCCGCGGCGCCTGCGTTTGGATCGACGGCCGCGACGCCGGCGCCGGCGACGTTTTCGTTCGGCGGCGCGGGCGCCGCGAGCGCCCCGGCGTTCGGCGGGGCGTCTTCCGCGGCGGCGGCGGCCTTAGCAGCGGCGGCGCCCGCGCCCGCGCCCGCGCCCGCGCCCGCGCTCGCTATTCCCGCGTCGCCGTCCACGGCGTCGCCGCCGGCGTCGCCCGCGGCGCCGCCGTCCGCGCCCGCGACGCCCGGCGCGTCGGAGACGCCGAAACCGGCGGCGGCGAAACCGGCGGCGACGACCGGCGGGTTCAACGCCGCGTTCCTCGCCAAGGCCAACACCGGATACGCCGCCGCGCAAAAGGCGCTGCAGGACGACCTCGCCAAAGCCGGCGGCGCGGCCGCGGCGGCGACGTCGCCGACGCCCGCGACCGCGACGCCCGCGTTCGGCGGGCTCGCCGCGGCGTCGACGAGCGCGAGCCCGTTCGGCGGCGCGACGGCGTCCGCGTTCGGGGCGTCCTCCGCGGCGGCGAAGCCGTCGATTTTCGGCGCGGCGGCGACGCCCGCGGCGACGACGTCCGCGTTCGGCGCGGCGGCGGCGACGCCGAGCGCGTTCGGAGCCGCGAGCGCGTCCACGGGCTCGGCGTTCGGAGCCGCGAGCGCGTCCACGGGCTCGGCGTTCGGAGGCGCGAGCGCGTTCGGCGCGAAGCCCTCCGCGTTCGGCCAAGCCGCGACGACGGGCGCGGCGGCGGCGTCGCCGTTCGGGCTCGCCGCGGCGGCGACCTCCGCGTCGCCGTTCGGCCAGGCCGCGGCGGCGTCGACGCCTTTCGGTGGCGGCGCGTCCGCGGCCGCGCCCTCCGCGGTGACGTCCGGGTTTGGAAGCTTCGGCCTCGGCGGGTCCGCATCCGCCGCCGCGGCGCCGGCGAGCGCGGGGGGCGGAAACGTCTTCGGAAAAGGCCTCGGCGCCGCGCTCGGCGCGACGACCCCGGCGGCGGCGTCGCCGTTCGGTGGCGCGAGCGCCGGTGGAGCGTTCGGGAGCACCGGCGGGGCGTTCGGGAGCACCGGCGGAGCGTTCGGGAGCACCGGCGGAGCGTTCGGCGGCGCGTCCACCGGGTCCGCGTTCGGCGCGGCGGCGACGACGAGCGCGTTCGGCGCCGCGGCCACGGGATCCGCGTTTGGCGCCGCGGCCACGGGATCCGCCTTCGGCGCCGCGGCCACGGGATCCGCCTTCGGCGCCCCGGCCACGGGCTCCGCGTTTGGCGCCCCGGCCACGGGCTTCGCCTTCGGCGGCGGCGGGGGCGGCGCCTTCGGCGGATCCGGCGGATCCGGCGCGCCGAGCTCGCCGTCTTCGCCGTTCGGCCAAGCCGCGGGCGCGAGCGCGAGCCCCGGCGGCGCGTTCGGAACCCCCGCGAAGCTCGGCGCCGCGAGCCCTTTCGGCGGCGGCGGCGTGTCCACGTCCGGCGGGTTCGGTCAGCCGTCCGCGCTCGGCGCCGCCGCGGCCGCGCCGTTCGGCGGCGGCGGCGTCGCGAAGCCGGCCGCGTTCGGGCAGGCGGCGTCTCCCGGGTTCGGGCAGGCGGCGTCGCCGACGGGCGGCGGCGGCGCCTTCGGCGCGGTGCCGGGCGCGACCGCGAGCGGATTCGGCGCGTTCGCGACGGCGGGGACCGGCTTCGGCGCCGCCGCGTCCGGCGGCGGCGGCGGCTTCGGCGCCGTCGCTCAGCAGGGCGGCGGCGGCGGGAGCGGCGCGTTCGGCGGCGGCGGCGGGAGCGGCGCGTTCGGCGGCGGCGGCGGCGGGAGCGGCGCGTTCGGGACGCCGGGAGGCGGCGGCGGGGGAGGGTTCGGCGGCGGATCGGCGGCGAGTCCGTTCGGCGCGGCGCCGGCGAGTCCGTTCGGCGCGGCGGCGACGCCCGGCGCGGGAGGGTTCGGCGGCGTCGGCGGGTTCGGCGCGTCGCCGCTCACGTCGCAGCCGAGCGGCGGGTTCGGGCAGCAGACGAGCGCGTTCGGGCAAGGCGGAGCCGCGAAGCCGACCAACGCGTTCACGCAGATGCGGAGATAGAGAACGTGCGCGGCGTTGAAATCGAACAGAAACTCTTTAATAATAACGTACGTTGTACTTCGAGCCCGCGCGCGCGGGGCTGCCTGTCGCATGTGGTGATTATATATCAATCGTTGTTATTACAACAGAAGGAGAGTCGCGATTCGCGTCGACGATTCGATTCGTCGCTCTTCCACCCGCCCCGCCGTTCGATTCCGCTCGTCACAACCACGGCGTCTTCGCGTACAACCCCACGGCGGCGCGGTCGTCGAGGAGGTCCCCCATCGCGTCGTCTTTCCTCCCCTGCCCCGCCTGCGCGGTGCTGTCCCACCCTTCCAGGCCGTTGTCCTCCAAGTTCTGCGGCCCGCCCGTGTTCATCGCGCCGTTCCCCGCGATGGCAAAGTCGACGCCGAGCGACTCGAAAATCTCCGCGATGCCGAGAAAAATGTGATGCCGCAGACGCATCGTCGTGTACCCCGCCTGCCTCAACGAGCGGTAGTCGTTGTAGCACACGACTTCTAACACCGCGCCGCCAGCGAAGGAGTTGATCCCCGTGAGCGTGCACCGCGGCGCGAGCGAGACGCCGCGCATGACGTCCGCGCCCGCGGTGCTCCGAAGAAACGCCTCGATGCGCTCTTGAATATCCGGCACGTGCCCGAGGTCTTTAAACGGAATCGCGAGCTGCTCGCGGAACTCGCGGTACGGCGCCCTGGACAAGTTCTCAACCTTATGCGCGACCATCTGCGAGTTCGGGATGTACGCCACCTTCCCCGCGCGGTTGATGAGCTTCGTGTACATCAAGCCGATGTGTTCCACGCGTCCGGATATTTCCCGCCGTTGCACCAACACTCGGACGACTTCCTTCGGAGAGAACCACCCGGACGCGATGACGATGAGCCCGCCGAAGTAGTTCGCGACCGTGTCCCTGAGCACCACGGACGCGAGAATACCGAGCACGACCGTCGACGCGCCCAAGCCTTTCAAGACGAGGTTCAACGGCAGACCGAGCGAATCCAGCGCGGCGAGAAACGTGAGTCCCCACACCAGCACGCCCGTCTCGCGGTCGTACACGTGCGCGGGGATCAAATCCACGGGCTCGATCTTGCCGTAGATCCGCTGCCGCAGCTGCCCAGCCATCCGCGCGAGGTACCGCTTCCGGAAGGAATCGATCGCGAAGCCGTAGAAGACGATTCGAAGCAGCCGCACGCATCGCTCTGGCGGGAACATCAGGTGCGCGCCCCCCGAGCTCATCGGCACGATGACGATGTACGTCCACGCCAGCGCGACCATGAGCAGCGCGGTCCTCAAGATCTTATACGCCCACCCGTAGAACGACTCCGTGAACGGCTTTCGCACCTCTCCGCCCCACATGCCGTACCACGCGTTGTGAAGGACGACGAGCGCCGGGCGCAGCGATCCGACCAACACCATCAGTCCGATCGCGAAACACGCGCTGTACACCGCGGTCTGCGTGAACGTCAGGCCCGCGGGGGATTGAATCACCGCGGGGATGTTGTCCCCCACGAGCGACGCGACGGTCTCGGGGACCGCCGCGGGGGGTGGCGGCGCGCGTCGACCGTGGACGTCGACGTCGCCGCGGCGACGACGATTCGATGCGTCGAGGCGAATTCGAAGATGCTGACGCTCCGCCGCGGTGTTTTTCGCGCTCGAAGATGACGTCGACGCGGTGGAGGTCTCGCCCGCGCGATTGCGCGGCGGCCGAAGCGCGGTCGCGCGCACCGCGCCGCGGGGTGGGTTCGTCGAGGTCGACGCGCGGAGTGCGGCGCGCGCGTTCGCCGAGGTCGCGCGCGCCGCGTTCCGCGCGCTCGCGCGCGTCGTCGTCGACGCGCTTAACAACGATCCCGACGCGGAGGCGGACATTTCGACCGCGGCGGACGAATTCCGCGGCGTTCGCGCGTCAATCTACCGCGGGCGCGCGTTCAGTCTCGTCCTTCGAGGCGACGAATCGTCTCGTGCGCGGCCGGGGAGCGCTGTCGCGAGGAACCCGCGAAAGAGCCGCCGCGTTGGGAGGGCGCGCGCGGATCTCTGTCGTTCCCGCGCGCGGTAAATGTGCTTTGAGAATAAATGCCGCCCCGCTGGTTGACACGCTGTCACCGCGGAAGTGCTGCGAGGAATACAGTTCTATGAGCGAGCAGTCTGGGAGAGGTGTCTGGGAGGGGGAATCCCGAGATCTCTCGCGCGAGCGCCGGCGCGGCGTCATCAGCGTCAGCGCAGCGTCAGCGTGTCGACACACTTTTTCTGCGCGCCGACGACCGGGGCGCTCGACGCGCGGATGTCCGGGGAACCCGATTCCCCGGACCCGCGCGTCGTCCGCGCGCCGGAGGATGGCACGTACTACGTCACGAACCACGACGGCGTCGTCGAGACGTGGAAGACCGGGGCGCGGTACCGCCTGATCTCCGTGCTCGGTCACGGAAGTTTCGGCGCGGTGTGCAAAGCTCGAGACGTCCTCGCGCGACGCGTGGTCGCGATGAAGCGCGTCCCGAACGCGCTGTGCACGCTCGAGAACGCGAAGAGGGTCCTGCGAGAGGTCGTCGTCCTGAACCGGCTCGACCATCCGAACATCATCAAGATCTACAGCATCTTTCACGCCCCGAGCAGCGCGGGGCCCTCGCGCATGGACCCGACGACGTTCTCGCTCGTGCCGATGTCCATAGACCTCTACATGGTCTTCGAGTGCGCGGAGGGCGGGGATCTGTACGAAATTCGAGGCGAGATGAGCTCCAGAGAGGTGCGCTCGCTCATGAAGCAGCTCACGACGGCGATCAAGTACATGCACGACGTCGGGGTGTGGCACCGAGACATCAAGTCCGCGAATCTGCTGTGCGGGCGCGCGCGGTTCGGCGGCCGCGTCGTGAAGGTGTGCGACTTTGGCCTGGCGCGCGGCGCGCGGCGCGGCGGCAGGGACGCGGCGGCGGACGAGAGCGCGGAACACCTCGACGCGCTCGGCGGCGGCGGCGGCGACGACCCGGTGCCGGCGTTCGACGACGCGCGCTCGGCGAAGCGCGCGAAGAAAAAACGCTCGAGCCTCGACGCCGCGACGCCCGCGGCGGCGACGCCGGCGCCGCCCCCCGGCGCGTTCGCGCGGCAAGAGATGCTCACCGGCGTCGTCGCGACGCCGTGCTACCGCGCGCCCGAGGTGATCATGTCCAACGGGGCGTACACCGGCGCGATGGACGTGTGGTCGTTGGGTTGCATCTTCGGCGAGTTGTTACAGCGGAGCCAACAGCACGCGTACGCGCCGAGGCTGACGGTTCGGCCGTTGTTTCGATTCGACGACGACCCGGTGCCGACGCCGGGGGAAGGGGAGATGTACACCGGGTGGGCGCGCGGGATGCGAAGGACGAGCGGCGGCGGCGGCGGAGAAGGAGCGAGCGGGAGTGGGTCGGGGAGGGGGGCGGGGGCGGGGGCGGGATCCTATGAGCATTTACAGACGGACGTCGGCGACGACGCGCACTCCGCGCGCGTGAAAGCGCGGCTCGATCTGTTCTTCGACGTCATCGGGACGCCGTCGTGGTACGACGTCGAAGCGGTGTCGAACGTGAGGTGGCGGCGGTACCTGCGCGGGATACGAGGACGGCCGGGGAGCATCACGGAGGACTACAAAGGCTGCGACGAGGTCGCGCGCGATTTACTGCTGCGCATGCTGACGTTCGATCCGAAACGCCGCGCGGGCCTCGACGAGATACTCGCGCACGCGTACTTCGCCGAGGATCCCGACGAGCCGCACCCCGGGGGCGGCGGCGGCGGAGGCGACGCCGCGAGCGCTGACCGACCGTCGCGCGTCGACGCGACGGACGCGGGGGGCGGCGGCGGCGGCGCGGCCGGGGGCGAGCGGACGCGGTTCTGGGAGATGAGCAACCCCCGCGACGCGCTCGCGGCGCTCGAGCTCGACTTCGCGTCCGTGTCGAAAGTCGAGCGTGACCCCAACCCGACGACGGCGAACGCGTGGAGGGACCACTTCAAGGCGCTGTTCGAGATGGAGTGCCGCAGAGAGACCCGGAGCGGCGAAGCTCGCGACGGCGGCGGATGGGACGACGACGACGGCGGGAGCCCCGGGGGTCTGTCCGAGGCGTTCCCGCTCTTCTTCCACGCGGGCGAAGCCGCGGTGCCGTACGCCGGCACGGCGCGCTCGCGCGAGGAAGAGGGCGCGGAGGCGCTCGAGCGCTATCTCTCGCTCGGCGACGCCGCCGGCGGGGTCCTCCAGACGTCTCGGCAAAAGGAGTGGGCGGAGATGGATCTTCCGAGCGCGGACCGCGCGAGGGCGGAGGCGGAGGGCGCGAGATCGACGTGGGGGGTGAGCGCGATGCCGCCGGGGATGACGGAGCAGGAGGGGTGGGCGTACCTCAGCATGAACAACCAACAGAGTCGGTGACGACGGACGCAACTTCGCGGGAGTAGGCGCTCATCGAGTTGTCCGTGCACGGGACGGGGGATGGTGACGGAGCACGACCCGCGGATCGATCCGTTCGATTGATCGATGGAGGACTTGATGTCGATGTCGGGTGGGCGGGTTGGGTGGGCGGGTCGAGGCGGAGTGCATGGGTCGGGGGTGTAGCGTGACGACGAGATAGAAGGACGCGTAGGCGCGGGTGTGATGAACAGAGGGCGTTCGTTCTTTCTTTTCGGTTCTCTCGTCTCCGTCGTTCAGTCGACGCGCTCGCGCTTCTTCGTGTGTTGGTTCGTTCCGCGGGGTCAGCACTTCGGGCACCCGCTGGGTCTGTCGCTGTTCGTGCGGTCGTTCAACCTCGCCCGCCACTCGTGCTTGCACTCGACGTTGCTGCACTTCCACTTCGCCTTGTAGTCCGACCCTTTCGTCACCGCCGTCGGCGGCTTGTCCTTGTCGACGTACTCGCGCGACAACTTCTTCCCGAGCTCGCCGTTCTTCTCGCACCACGCGAGGAAGTTGTTCGTCTTGCTCGCCGGCAGTCGATTCGCGCACTTCGGACACCCGTTGGGTTTGTCGCTCCTCGTGCGGTCCTTCATCTTCGCCCGCCACACGTGTTTGCACTCGACGTTGCTGCACTTCCACTTCGCCTTGTACTTCGACCCTTTCTTCACCGCCGTCGGCGGCTTGTCCTTATCGACGTACTCGCGCGACAGCTTCTTGCCTCGCTCGCCGTTCTTCTCGCACCACGCGAGGAAGTTGTTCGTCTTGCTCGCCGGCAGTCGATTCGCGCACTTCGGACACCCGTTGGGTTTGTCGCTCCTCGTGCGGTCCTTCATCTTCGCCCGCCACACGTGCTTGCACTTCAAACACTTCCACTTCGCCTTGTATTTCGACGCTTTCGTCAGCTCCGTCGGCAGCTCCTCGCGGAACTCGTTGGCGAGCCTCTCGCCGCGCTCCCCGTTCTCCGCGCACCACTCGAGGAACGGTTTGCCCGGACGTCCGGGTGGCATGATCGTCGTGCGAGGCGCGGCGTGGCGGCGCGCGAGAGGAAGTGAGAGGCCACGAAAAGCCACGACAACTCCACAAAACTTCACGTCGTCGAGTCGGTGTTCTCAACAGACCTCGGGTGCGTTCAATAGTCTATGTTCATCGGTCAGTTGAAAGGTAAAGCGATCAAATATTGAAACCGAGGTGTGGGTGAAAAACGTTCGTATAGACCTCACCCCGCCCCGTCGGAATTTTGCTGGCAGAAGAGCGCATCTGAAAAGCTGCAGAAAAGGCCGCCCTCTCTGCATTCCTTCCGGAGCGCGCGCTCGGCGTGCGGCGGCGGACGCGATGGGGTGCTGCGCCTCCAAGCCAGACCCGGAGAAGGCGGCGAAGGCGCCTAAGGACGAGGTCGTCGAGAGCGGGAAGAGCGACGACGCCCCGAGCACGAGCGGCGCGTCGCCCGACGCGCCCTCCGACGGATCTCGTCGCGAGAATGTTTTCGCGGCGTCGGCACCGCTCTCGTCGGAACGATTCGCGAGCCCGAGCGACGTCGCCGTCGACTCCGCGCGAACGAGCGGGGACGGCGACGACGACGCGGAGTCCGCGTACGCGCAGAAGGTGGCGACCGACGTCGAAGCCGCCGCGGACGCGGCGATACGCGAGTCCGTCGTCAAGGTCGAGGCCGCCGCGGAGGCGAGGATGGAAGCGCGCGCGATCGCGAACGATTCCACCGCGTCCGCCGAGGCGCGCGCGCGCGCCGCCTCCGCGGCCGCGGACGCGGAGAAGATGGAAGCGCGAGCGCACGCGGAGATGGCCGCCGCGAGGAAGATGAAAGCCGCGCTCGCGCTCGCGTTCGCCAAGGCGAACAAGAACACCGCGCGGTGGGTGAGCGCGTCCCGGAACGTCGCGGCGAGGAGAAGCGAGGACGGAGAGGCGACCGCGCGTCTCGAGGCTGCGCGCAGGGCGAAAGAGGAGGAGGAAGCGCATTCGCGCGCGGAGGCGCTGGAGGTGGAGCACATCGCCGCGGACCACGTCAAAAACGCGACGCAGTGGCTCAGCGCGACGAAGAGGGTCGTCGAGGACGCCGCCGCGCGACGATCGAACCGCGCGAGACAATTCGAAGAAATCGTCGCCGCGGAGAGAGAAGCCGCGTCGGTCGCGGAAGCGCTCGCGCACGAGGAAGCCGTCGCGGCCGCGCGAGCGGAGGTCGAGGCGCACCACGACGCGGTCGCGAAAGCGGAGGCCGCCGCGAGGGCGAAGCACGACGCGGAGGCGTTCGAGACCGCGTTGGAGGAGGCGACGCGCGAGGCGGCCGCCGCGGAGCGCGACGCGTCCGCGGAAGAGGCGCTCAGGGACGAGGCCCGCCGCGTCGCCGCGGAGGCCGCCGCGGCCGCGGAGGCCGCCGCGGCCGCGGAAGCCGCCGCGCACGCGGCGTCGATGGAGAAAGCCGCCGCGGAGGCGGCGGCGCGCGCGGACGCGGAGAGGAAAGCGGTGGCGGAAATGCGCGCGCACGAGGAGGCGGTCGCGCGCGCGAAAGCGGAGGAGAAAGCGCGGCGAGACGCCGCGGAGGAGGAGCTCAGGCGAATCGAAGCGCGCCGCGTCGCCGCGGAGGCTGCCGCGCTCGCCGCTGAGGCGAAAGCCGCGGACGACGTCGCGCGTTTGGAGCGCGAAGCCGCGGCGCGCGCGGAGGAGAAAGCGCGCCAACGCGCGGAGGAGAAGCGTCGCCTCGCGGAGACCGCCGAGGCGAGAATCGTCGCGATGGCGCGCGAGGTGGAGCGCGCGAACGCCGCCGCGGCCGCCGCGGAGGCCGCGGTCGTCGCGGCGTCCGAGGCGGAGGACGCCGCGGCCGCGGACGTCGACGCGCGCGCGGCGGCGGCGGAGGCTGAGCGCGCGGCGGAGGCGGCGGAGGACGCGTTGACGCTCGCGAGGGACGCGGAGACGCGCGCGCGCGAGGAGCGCGTCCGCGCGGCGGAGGAGGACGCGCGCGCGCGCGAATTCGCGGAGGTGGCGGCGACGGCGGAGTCGCACGCGCGCGCGGCGGCGGAGCGACGGGCGCGGGACGCGGAGAGCGCCGCCGCCGCCGCCGCCGCCTCCGCCGCCGCGGAGGAGGACGAGAGAGAAAAGGAGGCGGCGGCGAAGCGCGCGATCGAGGCGAAGCTCGCCGCGGACGCCGCCGCCGCCGCGGAGACGGCGGCGCGCGAGGCCGCGGAGGCCGCGGCGAGGGCGGAGCGGGTCGCGCGCGCGGAAGCGGCGGAGAAGGCGGAGAGAGAACGCCGCGCGCACGAAGACGCGATGGAGAAAGAGCGCGCGAGGGACGCCGCGGCGGCGGCGGAGAGGCGGTCGGAAGACGAGGCGAGGGCGCGGGACGCGGCGCTGAGAGCCGCGAACGAGGTCCGCGCGATGGCGGAGGCGGCGTTCGACCTCGACGCGAGCGGAGAGATCCCGTGCCGCCCGATAGACGACGACTCGGACTCGGACTCGGACTCGGACTCAGTCGACAGCGTCAGCAGCAGCAGCGACGACGACGACGACGACGCCTCCCTCGGGTCCGTCGCGAGCGACGTCGACGAGATCGACATCGACGAGTTCGGTCTGCCGCACTCCGACGTCACGCATCACAGGCTCGACACGCACGCGCTGAGCATCACGCTGACCGGGACGATCGAGGCGATCCGACGCCGGCGGCGGATATTCGACGAGCACGCGCGCGCGCCGACGGACTTTTTCGCGCGCGCGCTCGAGAGGGAAGGGAAGTGGACGCCGCCGTCGAAGACGCGGTCGCCGACGCGGTCGCGGACGATGTCTCCGGAGGTGGAACAAAGGCTTCTGACGCTCCTCGATAAAGAACAGCGGCGCGGCGGCGCCAGCGCCAGCGTCAGCGCGTGGTCGACGCCGACGTCGACGCCGCGGAGTTTCGTCTCCGCGAGCGACGCCGCGCGGATTCGACGCGCCGCGGAGACGGTCGGGGCGTTCGAGGACGCGCGTCGATCGTCGCCGTCGCCGTCGCCGCCGCCGTCGATGAGCGCCGAGGTTGGCGAGCGGCTCGTCGACCTCCTCGAGCTCGAGGTCGCGGCGAGGGAGGGCGCAGCGACGCCGACGAGCCCGGCGCGGAGGGAACGACCCGCGCTCCGCGCGCGCGTCCCCGCGACGGAGGAGCGATCGGCGGCCGGGAGCCCGAGGAGCCCGGCGTCCGCGGCGGCGGCGGCGCGGCGCGCGGAAATTCTCGCCTCGACGCGCGCGGCGGCTCGCGCGGCGGAGGCGGTCGAGCGCGCGCGCGCGTGGGTCGAGCGCCCGCAGAGCGTCTCCGCCGCGTCGACGCCGCGTCGCGCGCGCGCGTCGGCGTCGGCGGCGGCGGCGAAGCCGTCGCCGAGGTCGTCGCCGCGGCCGACCGCGTCTCCGGTCGCGCGGAGGTCCCCGGGCGGGGACGGGGGTCGGTTCGCGGATCGCGACGCGCGGCGCGAGCGCGAGGACAGGGCGAACGCGCGACGCGGCGGAGGGCGGGTCGAGTACGAGTACGAGCGCGAGTACGAGCGCGAGTACGGCGACGCCGCGTCCGCGACGCCGTCGCGGCGGTCGTCGAGCGCGCGCGATCGGCGGCGACGCCGCGAGGAGAGAGATCGAGAGAAGGGCGTCGAGGGATTCAGAGCCGTGGGGAACGCGTGGAGGGGCGTCGGGCGGTTTCTCGCGGGAAGGCGGTGACTGACGCGCGCGCCGTGGGCGTATCGGTGGCGCTCGCGCGTCGACGTCGAGAGTCTCATCAATCGACATCGACGACGGTGTACGTTTACGTTCGCGGGCGTGTTAGAACGACGCCGGCCGCGTCGACGTTGAGAGTCTCAACATCGGCGACGGTTCATGTCATCAAAACGAACCGACACGACACCACACCACACGACGCGATCACATGACGACGCAGCCGTCGAACTTGCCCTTGTCCGCGTTGCGCGCCTTCGCCGCCGCCTTCTTCTCGTTGAGCTCCTTCTGGAACTTTTGGTAATCGGCGCTCGAGACCTCCTCCTGGCCGTCCTTCAGGAACACCTTCTTCCAGAACGAGGACTCCTCCTCCTCCGCCGCGGCTTTCTTCGAGTCGCGCGTCGCGTTCGGGACGACGGAGGTGGAGCGCGCGGACTTCGGGCGCGTCGGCGCCTGCGAACGGAGACGCGGGGAGGAGACGAGAGCGATCTGTCGTCGGCGGAGGCGGGAGGGAACGGTTTTCGGGAGACGACCGCGTCGCGCGACGCGGGCGACGCGAGACGCGCGCGGATCGAGACGCGCCTGGACGCGCGCGGAGAGCGTGGTCGTGGACGTGATGGACTGCATGATGACGTTAACGCGGACGCGTGACTCGTGCGAGCGACTGTGCGCGCGTCCGCGACGGAACGATCGCGATCAGATGATATCGCGAGATAACGCGAGATCCGCGCCGACTGAGCTGGCAGGCGCGGTGTCGGGCGCGTCGAGCGCGCGATCGGTGGTCGTCGGTGCCGTCGCCGCGGCGTCTATTACACCCGGGGTCTATACCCCGATGCGAACTCTAGGCCTACGCGCGCTACGAACGCGCTTTCCCTCCTCCACCCGCGGTCCCTTCCTCGGTCTCTTCATCGCGCGCCCACGACGTTCGGGTCGCGCAGCATCGCGAGCTTCTTGTTACCCGCGCGGATGAGGTGCTCCACGAGCAGAACATCCTTCCTCGGGTCCAGACGCGCGTGACGCTCGAAGTCGTCCCTAATCTGCCGCGAGATGGCCGCTCGCGCGGTCGCGTCCTTCGATCGCGCGGCGCGGAGAAGCGAGCGGTGCAGCGACAGGACCTGCTTCGCCAGCCCGCTCAGGCGCGCGGGCGCCATCGCGAGTGACGCCCCTTCCGCGCGATGACGTCGCGTCGTCCAGTCTACCAGTCTACCAGTCTACCAGTCCAGTACTGATCCTGTCAGATGGAAGTTGACTTCTCCTCCGCGGGTCACAGCGGAGCGGCGCGGACGCGGTCGGGGTACCGCGATGTCCGCCGCCGGCGGCATGCACGGCAGAGTCGAGCGCGAGGCTCCCGAGCCGCACGACCACGTCATCAAGCTCCTCCTCGTCGGCGACAGCGGCGTCGGAAAGAGCAGCCTCCTCGTTCGATTCACCGACGACGTCTTCGAGGACCAGTCGCCTACGATCGGCGTGGACTTCAAGCTGAAGTACCTGAACGCGCGAGGGAAGCGACTGAAACTCACGGTGTGGGACACCGCGGGTCAGGAGCGGTTCAGGACGCTGACGAGCTCGTACTACCGCGGCGCGCAAGGGATCGTGTTCGTGTACGACATCACGAAGCGAGAGAGCTTCGAGAACGTCAGCGAGATCTGGGCGAAGGAGGTGGATCTGTACGCCACCGTGGAGGACTGCGTGAAGATCGTCATCGGGAACAAGATCGACAAGGAGAAGGCGAGGGAGGTGAGCAGGAAGGAGGGCGAGGCGTTCGCGGAGGACAACGGGTGCTTATTCCTCGAGACGAGCGCGAAGAGCCGACGCAACGTCAAGGAGGCGTTCGACGAGCTCGTGAGTCGAGTGCTGGACACGCCGTCGCTGCTGACGGAGCACGACCCGGGCGGCGGCGGGAGGGTGCGGCTGAATCGGTTGGTCGACAGCGCGCGGAGCGGGTGCGCGTGTCTGTGAGTTGGGAGGTGGGGAGGGCTCGGAGGCAGAGGCGGGCCGGCGCGCGACCCGCGTAGATACAGTAGTCTATCATGTGCGACGACATCGCGCCGTCGTCGTTCGTAAACGTAAACGTAAACGCGAGAGAAGCGTCGATCGTTTACCCGCGGCCGCCCGCCGCGCTCGTTTCCCATCGAAATGCCTCCTACTGTGGGCACTATCTTTACGTTATACAGCACGCGAGACCCCGCTCGCTCGCTCGCTCGTCGCCTCGCGGGTTCTCTTCTCTCCCTCCCGTCTCGTCCGACTGTCGCCCCGCGGGCTCTCGCGTCGTCCGAAACTATACATCGACCTCCATCAGACCGCGTCTGTCCGTCGCGCGCGCGCGCCGGTCGAATCAATCAGAATCAGCGAAGCGGCTTCGCGAGCTCGTTCTCCATGTGCCGCAGCCGCGTCATGAGCGAGAGATCGTAGAAATCCTCCCCCATCGCCACCGTGAACCCGCCGACGAGCTTCGAATCCACCTTGGTCTCCACCGTCAGCTCGTCCTCCGGGTCGTCCAGTTTCTTCTTGATCAACCCCGTCAGCCTGGTCAACTGATCTTCGTTCAGCGGAAACGCCGACGTGACCGTCGCCTTCACCTGCCCCGCGGCTTTCAGAGAGTACTCTTCCAGGCACCCGAGGATCTTCGATGTCTCTTTCAGGCGCCCGTTCTCCGCGGTGACGCACAGGAACGACTTGGTGATCTTGTCGAACCCGGCGCCGTCGCAAAACTCGGTGATGCCGGCGATCTTCTTCGCCTTGGGCATCGTCGGGTCGTAGAGGAAGTTTCTAAACTTCTCGTCCGTGTTCGCCGCGTCGACGAGCTGCGCGTGGACGGAGAGAGGGGGGGGGCAAGAAGAGAGGGTCAGAGACGCGCGGAGGGAGGCGGGCGGGGAGAAGGAGACAGACCAGACGACGAAATCGAGACGGACGAGGTTTTGCTTGCTTCTCTCGCGTCGAGGTCGATCGCTCGCTCCGGAGTTGGCGCCGCGACGCGGCGTCGGAGGAGTTCCGAGGGCGCGCACCGTCTTGATCTCGGACTGGACTCTCTCCAAGACGCCTTCCTTGCTCGCGGCGGTGTACACCGCGGAGGCGTACCGCGCGGGGAGGCCGAACAGGTTGAGCGGGGGCTGCGGGGAAAAAGAGACGAACAGCGCGTGAGCGACGACGACGACGACGGGTGGAGGGGCGACGGAGGCGCGCGCGATGACGGTGACGCGGCGTTCGACGTACCGCGTGCTCGTCGTATTCCCATTCCTCTTCATCGTCTTCGTACTCCTCGACGTCCTCGCCGCCGTCCTCGCCGCCGTCCTCGGTGGTCGCGGAGAACCAGCGGGGCTGCGGATGGATGGATGGAGAGCCGGGAAAGGGTCAGCGACGCGATGAGAAAAAAAAACCGGAGACGCATCGCGCGCGCGGAAACGCGCGCAATCGCGCGCGAGCGATGACGCACCCTTTTCATGGAGGACGCCGCGGCCGGGTAGGCCTGCCTGGCCGCCGGCACGAACCGGGTCCAGAGCGTGGAGGCGGTCTTGCGAAGCATGGTCGTCCGCGACGGTGATTGTGAAGTTGTCGTTGGCGCCTGGTCTATTTTATTCGAGCACCCGCCGCGCCGCGTCGCTTGGGAAGTTGAGGGATCGATCGAAGAGGACCGCGACGATCGATGGCGAGGCGAGGGCGCGCTCGACGGACGCGCGAGTCTCCAGAAAACCTTCACGACGTGTTCATCACAAAGGCGCTACGTGCTAAGGCGGCGCTTCACGCCGCCGATGTTTCTTTAGAGTACACGTCGCGCGCCCGCGGCCGCGACGATCGCTGCCTCCTCCGTTCGTCCCCGTCGCCCGTCCGTCCAGAGAGCCCGTCCGTGTCCAACCCTAAAATCGCTCTGGGATGGATCCGCGCGCGCGTCCTCGCCCGCGAGCCCTCGCCCCACCCTCCGCGCTCGCCTCCGCCGCGCGCGGTCCGTCCCAGAGCCGACCCCGCCGCTCGATCGCGCGCCGCGCGCGACGCCATCGGACGCTCAGTGGTGCTGCCCGCCCGGGTTCGCGAACGAGGACTTCTTGATGTCCTCCTTCGTCACCCCTAACGTCGCGTAGGTGACCGCGGCGCCGACGACGCCGAAGCCGGCGATGAACGGCCACATGAGCTTCGCCTGGGTCACGGCGTGCGAGGCCATGCTGACGTTACGGTACGGCATGTTGCGTGAGTGGGCGGCGTGCGTCGCGCGGTCGCGATCTGAGCGCGCCCTCTCGGCGGCACCGCGATGGCTGCAAGCGCTCAACTGAGTTTCATCGCCCGACGCGTTGACGCGACGACCAGACGCGACGCACGCGACCGGCAGTGGCGTTGTTGTTTTCATCACTCCCCTCCGCGCCCGCCTCGGCGCCGCGCGGCGGGATGGAGTACGACGCGTACGACCCGACGCTCCCTTCGCGCCGCGAAGACGCCCCCGAAGACCACAAGAACGTCGCGTACTGGTCCTGCGTCGCCCTCGGCGCGGGCATCCTCTTCCCGTGGAACGCGTGGATCACCGCGGTAGATTACTTCGAGATGACGTACCCCGGACGGCACGTCGACCGCGTCTTCCCGGTGCTGTACTTCTTCCCGAACGTCTGCGCGCTCCTCGTCGTGCTGAAGCACGGGCACCGCCTGTCGCAGCGCGCGAGAGTTCGAGGCGGGTTCGTCGTCTTCCTCCTCTGCCTCCTCGCGCCCGCGTTCGCGTCGTTCGCGGTCGTGTGCGTCGCCGTCGCGCTCACCGGCGCCGCGGACGCGTTCGCGCAGGGCTCCCTGTTCGGCGTCGTCGCGCCGATGCCGCCGTCGCACACGCAGGCGCTCATGGCGGGGACCTCCGTCAGCGGCCTCGTCATCGCGACGCTGCGGTTGACGACGCGGGCCGCGTTCGGGGAAGCGAACGTGCGCACTGCGGCGGGGGCGTATTTCGGCGTCGCCGCCGCGTGGGTGCTGGCGTGCGTCGCTCTGCACGGCGTCCTCGAGCGGACGGAGATGTACGCGTACTACACACGCGAAAAGGACGGCGGCGGGGACTACGTCACCGTGGAGGAGGCGGACGAGGAGGCGGACGAGACGCGGCGAGCTCTCGCGCCGGGAGGTCCGTCGTCGTCGTCCGGCGTCGGCGGCGGCGGATCAGGCGGGAAACGCTCCTCGCGCGGCGTCGGCGTCCGGGAAGCGCGCGACGTGCTTCGACGCGCGTGGCCGCAGGCTGTCTCCGTGTACGCCGTCTACGCGGTCACCCTGAGCATCTTCCCCGGCGTGCTCGCCGAGGACGTCAGCAGCGCGAAACTCGGGTCGTGGTACCCACTCGTCCTCATCGCGTGTTTCAACCTCTTCGACGTCGTTGGCAAAGCCGCGCCGGCGCTGGCGCCGGCTCTCGCCGCGCGCGCGGGCGGGGACGCGCGCGCGCTCCTGACGCTCGCGCTGACGCGCGTTCTCTTCGTGCCCGCGTTCGTATGCGTCAGCGCGCGGCGCGGGTTCGAAGCGCTCAGCGCGAACGAACTCCCGTGCGTTTTGCTCGTGATGGCGTTGGGGTGGACGAACGGCTGGGTCGGCGCCGTCGCGATGATGGCCGCGCCCGAGGCGGCGGAGGCGTCGCGGCGGGAGGCGTGCGGGACGGTGATGGTGCTGTTCTTGTTGTCCGGGCTCACGACCGGCGCGTTCTGCGGGTGGCTGTGGCTGCTGTGACGAGCGGCGCGCGATGCGATGGATGGTCGAGAGTGGGAACGGAGGCGAGGGCGGCGCGCGGTTCGGGCGAGCGGCGCGACGCTCGTCGTCTTCTCGTCGTGGTGACGTTGATTACAACGACGGTAGTCGTAGTAGTAGTAGGATAGGGCTATTGTCGTATGGGTTGGTTAGGCTGATTAGCTATCGTCTTCGCGTCGTCCGTCCGTCGTGAAGCGACGCGACGCGCGGCGCGTCGTCCGTCGCGTCGCGTCACTTCGACTTCCCGAGCGACTTCATGAGCGCCTCGCGTTGCGCGTGCAGCTCCTCTTTGCCCTCCGCCTGCGCGAGGAAAAAGATTATCCGCTCCATGCAATTCTCCGGGAGCTGATGCAACCCCGGCCTCTGGATCAGCGACATCTCCTTCGGATCCCTCACGAGCGTCACCTTCGCGCCCTCGATCAACGGCGCGTCCGGTTTGAGCGTGCTCATCGCCGCGACGGAGCCGGTCATCCCGCCGATCAGACTCTTCCTCCCGCGGCCCTTCTTCGCGCTCTTCTCCGCGCGCTCCTCCTTCGTCCCCATGTACAGATGCCTCCCGCTGATCAGGTGCTTGTACGACTGCATCTGCCCCCCGCGGTTGACTTTCGCGATGATCCGCTTCGACTTCCTCGATCGCTGCTGCCCGCCGCCCGGCGGCGGCGGCGACTCCGGCGGCGACTCCGTCGGGTCCGGCTTGGCGCGTTTCCCCCGCCCGAGCGCGTCCGCGACTCTCTCGTTCTCCTCCTTCTGCGCGGTCGCGTCTTCCCAGCACTGGTCGTCCGTCATCGGCTCGATCTTCAGCGTCATCTTTTCGAACTCTCCCAGCACTCTCTCCGTGACTTGGTCCCATATCGGCGGCATCTTGTCCTCGTCCACCGTCCCAGGTTCCTTCTCCTTCTTCACCATGTTGCCGTTTTCATCCTCGTACTCGCTCTCGCTCTCCGAGGACGAGTACTCGCTGCTGCTGCCGTCGTCGCTGTCGCCAAGGCATCGCACCTTCCGTCGCGTCAAGTCCGGCGGCTGCGACCGGCTGCGCTTCTCGCACAGGAGTAACATCCGCACGGCGACGCGGAACGACACGCGGCCGTACCTCGCGTGCGCCCCCGGCGTCCACTCGAACCATACGGACGGTTTGGGGGGGGCGCAATTCTTGGGGACGAAGAACTCGAGGCCGTCCGTCCCGTGCAGGAGCTCGGGCTGGTCGTAGAACAGCGTCGAGACGTTCTTGATCACCTGCGTCGCGGGGCGGGGAGGGCGGGGGAGGCGTTAGGGGGCGGGTCAGTCGCCGGCGTCGGAGGCTGGATGGATATTTTTTTCGCGCCGCGCTCGATCAATCGACGAGAAAAAAGCGCGAAACCGAATCCCGCGTGTAAAAATCTCGTTTTTTTGACCCGAGATTTCTGGGTTCAAACGCGTCGATCGCGGGCTGCGACACGAGGGCGCGATCGATCGCGAGACAATCTCGATCGACGTAAGACAACTGTGCCCTAACGCTTTCGAGTTCGTTCGGGGAACGAGGGGACGGACGCGATGCCGCGCGCTCGCGCGCGGCGCGGGGCGCGCCCCTCGCCGCGCGCGCGCGCGCGATCGATCGCGGAACCCCGCGCGAGACGAAGGTTTTTTTTTCGCGGCGGGAAAAGACGCGCCTGCTCGGTCGTGAACTCCGTGTTCCTGAAGCGGATGAGGATAGCCAGGAAGGCGTGGTAGGGTCGCTCGTCGTGGCTGTACACCTTGCGGATCCGCTTCAGGAGGTTGTACCCGCCGCCTATGGTCGGTTGCGTCCCCTGCGATCGCGACGAGGGAGGGAATGGACGTCAGGCGTGGCGCGGGGACGGCGGCGCGATCGCGCGGGGCGCGCGCGCGCGCGGAATCGCGCGCGGAATCGCGCGCGCGAACCCGCCGCGAGAAAGAAGGGTTCGTCCCGGCGGACGAGCGGACGCGTGACAGGTGAGAGAGGAACGGCCGTCGCGAAATGGTCTCGCGTCGCTCGGCGTGTTCGACGCGCTCGCCGCGCGCGATGACGCGCGGAAAAGACGCGCGAAAACGCAGGATCGACGCGAAAACACCCCGAGGAAACAACGCGCGCGATCGCGCGATGAGCGAGCGCGGGGCGGGACGCACGTCGCCCTGTTCCTCCGCGGCTGCGTCCTTGGAGGCACTGAATTTGTACGGCTGCGCGAGGAAAAGGCCGAGGAATGGTGGAAACGTGGCACGGGGTCGTCAGTGGATGCGCGTCGGCGCGAGCGCGAATCCTCGCGGGTTTACCCGCGCGCCGCAGCGTTCGCACGATGGACGTCTCGGGGAGAGATTCGCGGGTTGGGATCTCGAAATTCGCGCGCGATGGCGACGACGCGAACGAGGAAAGACAGCTGTCATCGTCCGCGTGGGATCGCGCGCGAGCCGTGCGGGGTCTTCATTCGAGAGCGACGAGCGCGAGAGAAGAGCGAGCGCGCACCTCGGGCAAGAAGCAGTTGAAGCCGTCGAGCAGGTCAGGGTGTCCGCCTAGGAGCACTTTCACCCGTTTCACGACCTCGGGGGTGTCGGATCTGCGTGATGACGCGCGCGGGGGTCAGCGGAGGTTGGGGGTGGGGGGTAAAATCACGCGCGAGCGTGCGAAACGCCAGTGTAGAGTCCGTCGGATGCGCGCGGACGCACCGCGCGTTCTTGAAGTCCCTCATCACCTCGAGGAACGCCTCGTACACCTGAGGGTTGCTCGCGGCGAACCTCGCCTTCACGGCTCGAACGTACGTGAGCGCATCCTGGGGCGGCTCCGGCGCGCCGACCGCGGGCGGCGCCATTCCGGCCGGCCGCGCGGCAGTCGCTTTTCTTTCTCCTCCTAACGGGAGCTGCGACCGCGATGGATGAGGAGAAAGTCGCAGGAGAAAAACTCCCCGGCGTTCGCGTCTCGCGCCGCTGACGCGGTCGGAAACGTCTCGCGCGCGAGCGTTCGGAATCGAACGCGGATCGAACGCGTCAACTCGTGCGCGCGCGTGCGGAGCGCGTCGTCGAGTGCTTCCGAGCGCGCGCGGATTGCGGCAAACAGATTCCCGAACACGGTTAAAAATACTAACGAGCCGTCTCTCGCTGGGAGATCGGACCGCTGACCCACTCGGCGGGGTCGCCATCTCGGCCAATCAAATCACGGGATTTCGTAACGTCTTTTTTTCACCGCGGCCGTTTTTCACCGCCGCGCGCCCACCGCGGACGCGCCGTCTCGCTCGACTCGACGCCGCGTCCCCCCCGCGCGCGCGCGCCCCCCTCCCCCCCGCGCGCGCGCGTCCACGCTGCTCACCGCGCCGCGTCCTCGTCGTCCCTAAACAGAAGCGCCAGCCGCGCGGGGACCCACCCGTCGCGCGCGTCGCCCTCGTCGTCGCCCTCGCCGCCGCGACGCGTCGCCGCCGCGAGGAGCCGCGTCGCCCAATCGCCCGGCGCCGCCGCGACGCGCGCGCGTCCGGGGGACACTACCGAACCAGAGTCCTCCGCGTCCACCTCTTCCACCTCTCCCGCGTCCTCTTCCGCGTCCTCGTCCTCGTCCGCGAACCCGTCCACGGCGTGGAACACCGCGTGCCCCCTGAACAGCGCCGCGTCGCCGCCGCGTAAGACGACGTCGATCCCCGGCGCGGCTTGCCCCGGCGTCGCCGCGCCGGGCGCGTACGCGGCGTACTGACCGTCCTCGGCGGGCGGTCTGCCGAAGTTGAAGCGGACCGGTCGACCGACGCTGATCGAGAGCGTCCACCCGACCGGTCGATCGAGGTGGCTCTGCATCTTTCCGCAGTTCGCGTCGCGACGGTCGCTGCGGTCGCCGTAGACGAGCGCCCAGAAGTGCGACGCGTCGAACGTCCGATTCGACGACGACGACGACGACGACGACGACGACGACGCGGGAGACGCCGCGGCGATTCGCGACGCGAGCGCGTTGGCGAGCGCGAAGATGTCGTCCGGGCGCGTGCGCAGCGCGCCCACGTCCCGCCCGCAGTGGCCGTGGCACCTCTCGATCCCGCACGCGCGCCGGCACTCGCGCGGGCGCTCCCCGCGGCCGCCCGACGCGTGCGACGCGACGATGAACGGGTGGTCCTGCGCGCGCGCGCGCGCGGGCCACGACTCGTGCGCGTCCCCGGCGAGGGCGCCGACGCGGTCGACGAGCGCGCCCTGGGCGTCCGTCTCGAGCGCGCCGCGGAGGACGTAGCACTCCCACGGCAGCCGCTCGACGACCGCGCGAGGGGACACCTCCATCCGCGCGAGCGAATCTGACCTGCCTAGGGTTGAGGCGCGGACTGGTAAACTGGAGAGAGAAGTAGAAGTCAGGTATAAGTTTGGAACGCCCCGAGATCTCGTCCCCGTCTGTCACTCGCCGCGCGCGCGACGACGGCGCGTCCTCTTCCTCCTCCTCCTCCTCCGCGGCCTCGATGCGGAGTGTTCCCGAACCCCGCGATCGACGCGACGCGACGTCGCCTCAACCGCGGATGAACATCGGGGACGTCGACGATAACGCGGGGGACGGATCGTATTCCGACGATCTGAGTCTCTTAGAACGATTCGACGCGAAAGCGCGCGATGTCTTCCACGCGCACGTACTCTCGCGGCTCGACGGCGGCGACCTCGCGATGCTCGCGCTGGTGAGCCGGAGTATGCGCGCCGTCGTGTTCGATCGGTTCGTGTTCAATACGCCCCTCGGCGACCTGAAGGGCGTCGCGGCGGTGAGGAGGGAGCTCGGGAGGATGTCGAACTTCGTCGGGTCGGTCAGCAGGTTGGCGTGGGCAAAGGAGCGAGGGTGTCCGTGGGACGCGAGGACTTGCGCACATGCCGCGTGGAAGGGCCACCTGGAGGTGCTGCAGTGGGCGCGCGCGAACGGCCCTCCGTGGGACGAGTGGACTTGCGCCTATGCCGCGTGGAAGGGCCACCTGGAGGTGCTGCAGTGGGCGCGCGCGAACGGTTGCCCGTGGAACGCGAAGACTTGCTCCTCAGCCGCGTTCGGCGGTCACCTCGAGGTGCTGAAATGGATGCGTGCGAACGGCTGCCCGTGGGACGCGTGGACTTGCAAGGATGCCGCGCAAAACGGCCACCTGGAGGTGTTGCATTGGGCGCGCGCGAACGGCGCTCCGTGGGACGCGATGACTTGCCGCTATGCCGCGCTTTGCGGCCACCTGGAGGTGCTGCAGTGGGCGCGCGCGAACGGCTGCCCGTGGGACGAGAATACTTGCACCTATGCCGCGAAACACGGTCACCTGGAGGTGCTGCAGTGGGCGCGAGCAAACGGCGCTCCGTGGGACGAGAATACTTGCCGCAAAGCCGCGAAACACGGTCACCTGGAGGTGCTGCAGTGGGCGCGCGCGAACGGCGCTCCGTGGGACGCGAGGACTTGCCGCACAGCCGCGGAAGGCGGCCACCTGGAGGTGCTGCAGTGGGCGCGCGCGAACGGCTGCCCGTGGGACGAGAATACTTGCGTCTATGCCGCGGGTGAAGGCCACCTTGAGGTGCTGCAGTGGGCGCGAGCGAACGGCGCTCCGTGGGACGAGAATACTTGCGTCTATGCCGCGGGTGAAGGCCACCTTGAGGTGCTGCAGTGGGCGCGAGCGAACGGCGCTCCGTGGAACGAGTGGACTTGCACCTCTGCCGCGCAGCGCGGCTACCTGGAGGTGCTGCAGTGGGCGCGCGCGAACGGCGCTCCGTGGGACAAGTTGACTTGCGCCAATGCCGCGGGAGAAGGTCACCTGGAGGTGCTGCAGTGGGCGCGTGCGAACGGCGCTCCGTGGGACGAGTGGACTTGCGCCAGGGCCGCGGATGGCGGCCACCTGGAGGTGCTGCAGTGGGCGCGCGCGAACGGCGCACCGTGGAACAAGTTGACTTGCGCCGCAGCCGCGGGAGGCGGTCACCTGGAGGTGCTGCAGTGGGCGCGCGCGAACGGCGCTCCGGAATAAGGCGATGAGGACAACGACGAGACGGATGACGACCACGTCGAGTGAGCGTCGATGAGAAAATCATCAACGCGTCCCCGGGGACGGCGCGAGGTTGACCGCGGCGCCGACGCGCGAGAACGAACGAGGACGAGCGCGAACAGATTGAAACACGCGACGAACGAGTACGAGTACACGTGTAGACGTACGTGTACGTGTACAGTAGACGATGTAACGAGGAGAACGCACACGCTCTATCTTTTTTTCTACTCTACGTCGTCCCCCCTCGGGTGGGCCCCGTCACGACCGCCTCAACACCGCGGCCAACGCCTCGACCTCCGCGCTCACGGCGTCCTCGTCCATGTACCTCGCCGCGGCCAACCGCAGTCGCTGCCGCGTCTCCTCCTTCGTGTCGTTTAAGTCGCACGAAAAGATCTCGTCCGTGGGCTGGAACCGATGGTACCGGTCCCGCGTCCCGAGCACGTGCCTGACCGTCGCGTCGACTTGCACGACGTCGCACGTCGCGTTGACTAAGTTCTCGACCCACGCGCGCGAGGTCCCGCTCGCGGCGACCTCCCTGGGGACGGACGCGCCCGTGCCCAAGGACACGACGCACAGCGGCCGCGATCGATCGAACAGCCTTCGCGCCTCGAAGATGCCCACCGCCGTCGGGTTGTTACACGCGATGGCGCCGTCGATGAACCGCAGCGACGCGGCGACCCTGGACGCGTCCTTCGCGGACGTCGTCGTCTTGCCGTCCACGGCGGTCGCGTCGTTCGGGTCGTCCTCCGCGTTCGGGTCCTCCTCCGCGGTCGCGTCCGTCTCTCTGGCGTCGTCGCCGTCGCCGTCGCCGTCGCCGTCGTCGTCGCCGCGCGCGGAGGCGAACGCCGCCGCCGCCGCGAGCTCGGACGACGACGCGCTTCGCGACGTCCCGGAGATGCCGCCGCCGACGGGCTGCTGCTCCGGCGTCTCCGTCGACCCGACCGCGGTGACTTTCCCCAGACCGAGCTCTTTGTCCACGGTGAGCTCTTCCATGTACCACGGCGCCGCCGTCGTCGCTCGCAACGCGTGCACGACGCCGGCTCTGTGCTCGCCGGGGAGCTCGCCGACGGCGCTGACGTTCTGGCCGTTACACGCGGGGTCTCGCCGGTACGACCGCAACAGATACGGCGTGCTCGGGACCCTGGACACCAGCGACGAAACGAGGCACACGCGCGGGGGCGACGGACGCGGCGCCGCGGTGTACCACCGCTGATGCGCGCCCATCGCGTACAACGGCTGGTCCGCCTCGGAGCCTAATATCTTCTCGCGCATGAGCCGCTCGAACGCCTTCGCCGCGGTGTGCCCCGGCCCGCGCTTCAGGAGCGTGTAGTACCCGTCGCTCTTGAACACCTCCGCGGCCATGTTGTCGTACACGTCCGACACTTCCGCGAGGGACAAACGAAGTAAACCGGCGCCGATCGCGATGAGCCCGCCGGTGGACGTGCCCAAGATGAGGTCGAAGCACTCCCCGACGCACGTCTCCCCGGCGGCTTTCATGATCCGCTCGAGCATGACGATCGTCGCGAGGCCGCGGATGCCGCCGCCGTCGAGGCACAGGACGCGCACGGGGCGAGAAGATGAGTCGTCGGAAGCGCCCATCGCGGCGGCGGAGGCGGCGTCCTCCGCGGCGGCGCGCGCGGGCGACGGGAACGACCGGTCGAGAATGGACGCGCCCTCGTCCCCGAGCGCGTACGCGACGCGCATCGCCGCCGTCCATTTCCTCGCCCTCGCGGCTTCCAACGCGTCGAGGGGTTCGCCGTCGTCGTCTGCGGCGTTGTCGGCGTCGTCGTCTTCCTCGATCGCGGGCTCCGGGTCCGGGTAGTCCTCGCTCGCGCGACGATCGCTCGCGTCCCCCGGCGTCGACGCGTCCGGCTTCGGCGGGGACGCGTCGTCGCCATCGTCCGCGTCCACGGCGTCGCGCTCCGCGTCGTCGTCGTCGCCGCCGCCGCCGTCCGTCGCTTTCTTCTTCGTCGGCGGCGCCGGTTTCGACGGCGACGGCATCTCCTTGAGCTCCATCTCCGTTTCGGTCTTCTTCTCGCCGCCGCTGAATCCGAACAAGTTCGCGGCTCTTCCGAACACGGTCGCGGAGGCGCCCGCCGCGGACGGCGACGGCGCGACGTCCGTCGGGGTCTTGTTCTCCGCCGCCGCCGCCGCGAGCTCCGCGGCGGCGGCCGCCGCGGCCGCCATCGCCGCCTGTTCCGCCTCGTTCGCGGCGACGTTCCTCGCGACGCCGATGAGGTTCGCGCGCATGCGTCGTCGTCTGGCTTCGACGCGCCGCGCCGCCGCCGCCGCCTCCGCGGACGGTCGCGCGGCGCACGCCGCGGCGAGTCGCTTCCCGCACCGGCGCGACACCTCTCTCGAGGAGCCGTGCTCTTTCGCGTCGATCGTGTTATCCAGGATCACTTCCCACGCGCCGCTTCTCCCGCCCGCGCCGCCGCCGACGACGCTCTCGAGCTCCCCCGCGGGGAGCGCGAACGCGGGAATGCCCACCGGGACGTCGTAATTCGGCGACGGAATGAGCGGCTGCACCGGCGGGTGTCGCGCCTCGCGTTTCGGCCACAGAAATATCGCCGCCACCGCGCCCGCGCTCTGCGCGAGGTACACGAGCCGGCTCGCCTGCTTGATCATCGCGACGTGCGCGGACCACTCGCCGTCTTTCGCTCGAAACACCGCGACGCCGCCCTCGATGGAGACGCGCGGCGTCGGCGTCGGCGGCGGCGCCGGCGCCGGTTAT